GTTGGTGTGGAGGAATAAAGGGTTGATCTGATGTGATCACCCAGATACCTTTTATGAGCACTCTTAGGATGAATGTAAACATACAGACGTAAACATGAGGGTAAATGTAAACATACAGACGATAAATGTAAACATACAGACATAAACATGAGGGTAAATGTAAACATTCAGACAATAAATGTAAGCATACAGACGATAAATGTAAACATACAGACAATAAATGTTAACATACAGATGATAAATGTAAACATACAGACGATAAATGTAAACATACAGACATAAACATGAGGGTAAATGTAAACATTCAGACAATAAATGTAAACATACAGACGATAAATGTAAACATACAGACAATACATGTTAACATACAGACAAAAAATGTTAACATACAGACGATAAATGTAAACATACAGACGTAAACATGAGGGTAAATGTAAACATACAGACGATAAATGTTAACATACAGACGATAAATGTAAACATACAGACGTAAACATGAGGGGAAATGTAAACATTCAGACGATAAATGTAAACAAACAGATGATAAATGTAAACATACAGATGATAAATGTAAACATTCAGACGATAAATGTTAACATACAGACGATAAATGTAAACATACAGACGTAAACATGACGGTAAATGTAAACATTCAGACGATAAATGTAAACAAACAGATGATAAATGTAAACATACAGACGATAAATGTAAACATACAGATGATAAATGTAAACATACAGACGTAAACATGAGGGTAAATGTAAACATTCAGACGATAAATGTAAACAAACAGATGATAAATGCAAACATACAGACGATAAATGTAAACATACAGACGATAAATGTAAACATACAGATGATAAATGTAAACATACAGACGTAAACATGAGGGTAAATGTAAACATTCAGACGATAAATGTAAACAAACAGATGATAAATGTAAACATACAGACGTAAACATGAGGGTAAATGTAAACATTCAGACGATAAATGTAAACAAACAGATGATAAATGTAAACATACAGACGATAAATGTAAGCATACAGACGATAAATGTAAACATACAGACGATAAATGTTAACATACAGACGATAAATGTAAACATACAGACGTAAACATGAGGGTAAATGTAAACATTCAGACGATAAATGTAAACAAACAGATGATAAATGTAAACATACAGACGATAAATGTAAGCATACAGACGATAAATGTAAACATACAGACAATAAATGTTAACATACAGACGATAAATGTAAACATACAGACGTAAACATGAGGGTAAATGTAAACATACAGACGATAAATGTAAACATACAGACGATAAATGTTAACATACAGACGATAAATGTAAACATACAGACGTAAACATGAGGGTAAATGTAAACATTCAGACGATAAATGTAAACAAACAGATGATAAATGTAAACATACAGACGATAAATGTAAACATACAGACGATAAATGTAAACATACAGATGATAAATGTAAACATACAGACGATAAATGTAAACATACAGATGATAAATGTAAACATACAGACGATAAATGTAAACATACAGACAGTAAATGTAAACATACAGATGATAAATGTAAACATACAGACGATAAATGTAAACATACAGACATAAACATGAGGGTAAATGTAAACATACAGACGATAAATGTAAACATACAGACGATAAATGTTAACATACAGACGATAAATGTTAACATACAGACGATAAATGTAAACATACAGACGTAAACATGAGGGTAAATGTAAACATACAGACGATAAATGTAAACATACAGACGATAAATGTTAACATACAGACGATAAATGTAAACATACAGACGTAAACATGAGGGTAAATGTAAACATTCAGACGATAAATGTAAACAAACAGATGATAAATGTAAACATACAGACGATAAATGTAAACATACAGACGATAAATGTAAACATACAGATGATAAATGTAAACATACAGACGATAAATGTAAACATACAGATGATAAATGTAAACATACAGACGATAAATGTAAACATACAGACAATAAATGTAAACAAACAGATGATAAATGTAAACATACAGACGATAAATGTAAACATACAGACGATAAATGTAAACATACAGATGATAAATGTAAACATACAGACGATAAATGTAAACATACAGACGATAAATGTAAACATACAGACGATAAATGTAAACATACAGATGATAAATGTAAACATACAGACGATAAATGTAAACATACAGACAATAAATGTTAACATACAGATGATAAATGTAAACATACAGACGATAAATGTAAACATACAGACATAAACATGAGGGTAAATGTAAACATTCAGACAGTAAATGTAAGCATACAGACGATAAATGTAAACATACAGACAATAAATGTTAACATACAGACGATAAATGTAAACATACAGACGTAAACATGAGGGTAAATGTAAACATACAGACGATAAATGTTAACATACAGACGATAAATGTAAACATACAGACGTAAACATGAGGGTAAATGTAAACATTCAGACGATAAATGTAAACAAACAGATGATAAATGTAAACATACAGACGATAAATGTAAACATACAGACGATAAATGTAAACATACAGATGATAAATGTAAACATACAGACGATAAATGTAAACATACAGATGATAAATGTAAACATACAGACGATAAATGTAAACATACAGATGATAAATGTAAACATACAGATGATAAATGTAAACATACAGACGATAAATGTAAACATACAGATGATAAATGTAAACATACAGACGATAAATGTAAACATACAGACAATAAATGTTAACATACAGATGATAAATGTAAACATACAGACGATAAATGTAAACATACAGACAATAAATGTTAACATACAGATGATAAATGTAAACATACAGACGATAAATGTAAACATACAGACGATAAATGTAAACATACAGACGTAAACATGAGGGTAAATGTAAACATACAGACGATAAATGTAAACATACAGATGATAAATGTAAACATACAGATGATAAATGTAAACATACAGACGATAAATGTAAACATACAGATGATAAATGTAAACATACAGACGATAAATGTAAACATACAGACATAAACATGAGGGTAAATGTAAACATTCAGACAATAAATGTAAGCATACAGACGATAAATGTAAACATACAGACAATAAATGTTAACATACAGATGATAAATGTAAACATACAGACGATAAATGTAAACATACAGACAATAAATGTTAACATACAGATGATAAATGTAAACATACAGACGATAAATGTAAACATACAGACATAAACATGAGGGTAAATGTAAACATTCAGACAATAAATGTAAGCATACAGACGATAAATGTAAACATACAGACAATAAATGTTAACATACAGATGATAAATGTAAACATACAGACGATAAATGTAAACATACTGACATAAACATGAGGGTAAATGTAAACATTCAGACAATAAATGTAAGCATACAGACAATAAATGTTAACATACAGACGATAAATGTAAACATACAGACGTAAACATGAGGGTAAATGTAAACATTCAGACAATAAATGTAAACATACAGATGTAAACATGAGGGTAAATGTAAACATTCAGACAATAAATGTAAACATACAGACGTAAACATGGGGGTAAATATTAATTTTTGTGGCCCCCCTCCCTCTGGTCACACAGCCGAGCTGGAGGGGAAGGAAGAGGTGTTGTCCTTCTTCATATTGTAAGATTGTGAGTTATGCGCATTACAGCCAAGGGTCAAAACAAAAATACTCCCCCCCCCCCCCCCCCCCCCCCTCCAACTCCCCTCCGGGCCGGACCTCTGGCTTCTGGGGCTTTTTTGTGAGTGGCCCTCGGACCATTATAACGGTTCTAAATATTTTTACCGTATTTCATTTTCACCAACTTGATGTTTCCTTCCTTCATTCTGTCTCCTTTCATCTCTTCCCTCATGTGACCAATCGGTCCTGCTTCTCCAGATCATAAGCTCAAGAGTAAGTCCATCTCCCGTCTTACACTTTATTCACACCATGTTTTTCCTCCATTGTTTGATACGTTTCCTTTGAAAGAAAAGAGAGGTTCACACAGAAAAGTACTTGAAAGTGTACAACAGAAGCTTTTATAAACAAAAAACAAGCTGAAAGGTGAGAATATTTAATTGTAGTTGTAGTCCTGATCACAAACCACGCTAACATGTGGAGCTTGCTAACATTTACAAGTTAACATAATGACTGTAATTTAATTTGTGGGATTTGGAGGCTCATGGCCCATTAGATTTAGAAATAATTAATGACTCACATGTTGTAGATAAACTCTTGAATGAGCAAATTTTGGAAGAGTACGGTTTACTTCTTGCAGGACAGCTGACCCAATGGCTTGTATGAGCTCAGCCCTGACCAAAGTTTACTGAGAGGTTCCTGCTGCATCAATAAACCAGCTAATAAAAACCTACATTATTCACATTACATGTTCTTTTGTGTGGACTTTTTTACATTTACATTTGGTAAATGACCTGTATTTGTATAGCGCCTTAAAGGGTTCCCCAACCCCCCAAGGTGCTTCACAATGTGGCAGTGTGAGCGTCCTGTCACTGTGACCCGATTGATCATGCGCCCGGGCTACTTGGCCAAGAGGATGTCCCTTTGGCTGACTGGTTAGCACGCATGACTTTCCCCCGGGAGTCTCCTCCCCAGGCCTCACCCGGATCGAATCCTGCCCAGGCCCTTGTTTCTCCACGGTCATTCACCCATTCACACACATTTACATGCTGGTGGTGATGAGCTACGATGTAGCCACAGCAGCCCTGGGGCGCACTGACAGAGGTGAGGCTGCCAAGCACTGGCCCCAACCGGTCCCTCCAACAGTCTAACAGCTACCACCAGCAGCTAAACGTAGCACCTCCGGTGGTCAGCATCCAGTTGAGTAAAGCAGCAGTCTACAGGTGCTGGCCAGTAAATTAGAATATCATCAAAAGGTTGAAAATATTTCAGTAATTCCATTCAAAACGTGAAACTTGTACATTATATTCATGCAATGCACACAGACCAATGTATTTCCAATGTTCATTACATTTAAATTTGATATTCATAAGTGACAACTAATGAAAACTCCAAATTTGGTATCTCAAAAAATTAGAATATTCTGAAAAGGCTGAATATAGAAGACACCTGCTGCCACTCTAATCAGCTGATTTACTCAAAACACCTGCAAAGGCCTTTAAAAGGTCCCTCAGTCTTGTTTTGAAGGCACCACAATCATGGGGAAGACTTCTGACTTAACAGCTGTCCAAAAGACAATCATTGACACCTTGCACAAGGAGGGCAAGACACAAAAGGTGATTGCTAAAGAAGCTGGCTGTTCGCAGAGCTCTGTGTCCAAGCACATTAACAGACAGGCGAAGGGACGGAAAAAATGTGGTAGAAAAAAGTGTACAAGCTCTAGGGATAACCGCACCCTGCAGAGAATTGTGACGACAAACCCATTCAAAAATGTGGGGGAGATCCACAAAGAGTGGACTGCAGCTGGAGTCAGCGCTTCAAGAACCACCACGAGGAGACTCATGAAAGACATGGGATTCAGGTGTCGCATTCCGTGTGTCAAGCCACTCTTGAACAAGAAACAGCGCAAGAAGCGTCTCGCCTGGGCCAAGGACAAAAAGGACTGGACTGATGCTGAGTGGTCCAAAGTTATGTTTTCTGATGAAAGCAAGTTCTGCATTTCCTTTGGAAATCAAGGACCCAGAGTCTGGAGGAAGAGCGGAGAAGCACAGAATCCACGTTGCATGAGGTCCAGTGTAAAGTTTCCACCGTCAGTGATGGTGTGGGGTGCCATGTCATCTGCCGGTGTTGGCCCACTCTGTTTCCTGAGGTCCAGGGTCAATGCAGCCGTCTACCAGGAAGTTTTAGAGCACTTCATGCTTCCTGCTGCTGACCAACTTTATGGGGATGCAGACTTCACCTTTCAACAGGACTTGGCACCTGCACACAGTGCCAAAACCACCAGCACCTGGTTCAAGGACCATGGTATCCCTGTCCTTGATTGGCCAGCAAACTCGCCTGACCTTAACCCCATAGAAAATCTATGGGGTATTGTGAAGCGGAGGATGCAATACGCTAGACCCAACAATGCAGAGGAGCTGAAGACGACTATCAGAGCAACCTGGGCTCTCATAACACCTGAGCAGTGCCACAGACTGATCGAGTCCATGCCACGCCGCATTACTGCAGTTATTGAGGCAAAAGGAGCCCCGACTAAGTATTGAGTGCTATACATGCACATTCTTTTCATGTTCATTCTTTTCAGTTGGCCAACATTAGAGAAACAAACATTTTTTCATTGGCCTTTAGAATATTCTAATTTTCTGAGATACCAGATTTGATGTTTTCATTGGTTGTCACCTATAAATATCAAAATTAAACGTAATAAACATCGGAAATACATTGGTCTGTGTGCATTGCATGAATATAATGTACAAGTTTCACGTTTTGAATGGAATTACTGAAATATTTTCAACCTTTTGATGATATTCTAATTTACTGGCCAGCACCTGTATTGTCAAACCGAAAGAGGAAAGATTTATGAAATAATCTCAGGGGTTCAATGAAATTTTAGGGATTGGAGCAGATTTAAGATATTGTTGTTTGTATTAAATCTAACAGTCATCTGCATAGACGTTTACATTCAGGTTGGTTCAAGTCAACCACTAGTGTGCCTAATTAGCATTGAGGAGTGTTTAAACAGTAGAATGACTAAGATGCTAACAGGCTAGCTGTTTGAAGACGCAGCAATCTGATTGGATGTGGGTCTAACCCTAACCCAAAAACAAGCTAAAATTATTTGTTAGTCATAATCATAAAGCAGTCTTATGTCTCACTGTTGGAAGGAAAATCATTAAAGTAAAAACATCAGCTGGCCTCACCTGTTTTCTCCCTTCTCCAGTGCCCATGTGGGCTGTGGGGGCCATTGTTGTGGTGGTTCTTGCCCTGGTTGCCTGTCTGGTATTCTGCATCTACAAGAAGTGCTTCAGTAAGACCAAGAAGCCCAAGGCCCGAGAAAGGAAAGGAGGAGGACGCGGACGTAGAAAGAAGGAGAAGGAGGGAGAAGACGCAGAAGAGAAAAAGGTAAGAACTGATCGTTTCAATCAGTGCAAGATGCTTTGGTGGATCCGTAAGCCTCGATTATAATTCAGTAGGTTTTGGTTCAGTTCAGCACACAAACACAGGGCCTTTTGGCTTTGAATCAAATTAGGACTGAATATCAGGCGTGGTAATCTTAGTGGTGGGGAGATTCGCAGGTGCAGGGGGGCTGAGGTGGAGGGGTGGGGGGGGTGGGGGGGGGGGGCTTAGTACAGCAATGGGGAAGGAGGAGGAGGGGGAGTGGGCCAGTTTGGTGGGCACTCACCAGGAATTGTCCCGGGAATTCCCGGCGGTCTGTCCGTCACTCTCTGAGCCTGATGATTTCACTGCTGAAAGCAAAGTTTGATTGTGTTTCTTCTAGGAGGGAGAGGAAGGGAAGGAGGAGGAGGAAAAGGAATCCTTGGGAAAACTGGAGTACACGTTGGACTACAACTTCACTGATAATCAGGTACTCCAATCCTAAACGTTTGTTCTGCATCAACAATGATCTGGAAAACATCCGGGCCACAACATAAAACCGTGGTTTCACAACTGAGGACTGGAACTTGCTCTCTTGGGGTGTAGATGTCTGAACGGGACCTGTTGTTTTCTAGAAGGGACTTCCTGGTTCGTTAGCATCGCAGCCTCTGTTGAAGGGTAACTGGTTCGTTCTCTTACTACAGGGGTCGTGTGTGAAAGTATCTCCTCTGTGGCAGGACCATTTGTTAATTAATCCATCATGGGTGGACACGACGCCGGAACTCAGCACCAGTTCACCGGAGTTGCCAAATACTTCAACCCATCCACGATCACAGGACGGCGGAATTGTGTTTTGGCCACATAAGCCAGCATTGCAGCAATCTTCCTTTTCTTCAAACTGAGGCCCAAGAAACAACCTGCTGTCACAGAAAAGTAGTCATGTTTCCATTTGACAGCTGTTTCTTACAGATGGAAGGGAGGAGAGAGCAGCTGGAGATGCTTGTAATTAACTGTTTGGTTTCCCTATGTCAGGGGTGTCAAACTCAAACTCACACGGGGCCGAAATGAAACTCTGGGACGGAGTCGAGGGCCAAACTTCATATTTTTTGAAAAAGTGACGGCAAATTTGCACATTTTCTTTATCAACATAAATGCAATTTTGAACTTTTAATTAGGAAACAAACTTATTTCTGCATTAACTCTGAATGTGGAATAACCAGATTACACACGAGCAAGTCAGTTTTAAATAAAAGGCATCAGTGGTATTCATTACTTGTGGTATAATCAGCATTTTAAAATCTATTCAGGATTTATGTTTTCTTGTTTATTCATTTTTCTTATTTTTTATTCTCCTTTTTTCTCCTGTAATACGTGTCATCGCTGCTGTGACGTCTAGCTTTCCCCACTGAGGAACAATAAAGGGATTTTCTATTCTATTCATCTATCTGCAGCCTTTCCACTTCCTGTTTACTGTAGGTTAAATCTTTTCTCACGGGCCAACAACAACATAAAAATATCATTTTATCTTAAATGAAAATGCAACATCTCACCTGTTAACTTTCATGTTTTGGAGCAGAAAAAGAGCATAAAACCAACATATTTAAAGCTCAGTTTGCTCCACTGGTTTACTGTGATGCTCACCTGTTCCAGCCAGATACCTGCATCATGGGGTTGACCTGAGCTGAGGAGGAGACTCCTGTTGTTTTGTTCATCTTCATCATAATAATGACAACATTAGATGACAACAGGTGCTCACATAGGTTTGTGCTGATGAACATGTCTGAGCAGCTTGACCACGTCGTTGTGTGTCGGGGAGGAAACACGACCACAGAGTCATGCTGGTTTGAGCGTGTCGCTGCTCGCTGGAGTTATATCAGCTCTGTCTGGACGTTAGCTGGAAAACTTTCTCTTTCAGTCGTGAACACGTTACTGAGCGGCTAGAATCTCCGTTTCTGGGCTTCAACGTCAGAAAACAGCTGAGTGAACTCGGCGCTGAGTGAGAGGAGCGTAGTTTGTCCGAGACAGCGGAGCTGCAGACACCGGCAGCAGGCGCTGAAAAAACACAAAGGAGGGGGCTTCGTCGGCTCCGCGCTGAGGCCGCAAAGCATCATGGGAGTTGAAGTCTTTGCGGTAAAATCGGCCAGCGGGCCAGTTTTAATATATTTTTGATATTTATCTCGCGGGCCACATAAAAATGTTCCGCGGGCCGCATCTGGCCCGCGGGCCTTGACTCTGACATATGTGATCTATGTTAACAACAAAGACAATTTATAGAAGACGTCCTGATCAGCGGCCCAGACAAACTCATCTGCCTCATTTCTAACTACTGAGAACATTGAGTCGGGTGATGAACTATGACTTTTGGCTCCTCCGTGTGTCCAAAGACCTGCTCCACATAGAACGTACGTTCACATTTAGACAGGTTAGAGAACTTCTCTGGCATTTAGGAGTGGTTCTAAAGTGGATATGATCTTATGTCAGAGAGAAGTCTAGCAGCGTCAAACGGGTTGCCTCAAGGTCCAGTCTTGGATCCCCTTTTGTTCCCATCGTACATGTCTAAAGGAGTTTAGACCAGATCTTATGTTCGCTGATATTCCTTCGTTTTGAGCCATAATTCATGAATCTACTCAAAATATAGTTGTTGTAGTTCGCCTAACTTTAGAAGTGTGAAACAGGTCTCACACTGCGGGTATAGAGTGGTGAGAGCTGATTTTTAAGACTGAAAAGTCACAAACAAAACTCTGCTAGGACCACATCTATTACAGTGCACTAAAAGAGTACAAGGACGCCCTCTAGTGGCTGGTGGATGTAAACATAAACCTAGTGCCGTGTCCGTCAAAATAATTATTTATTTCTTGTCATGTATCATCATTAGTTTAGAAAAGAATAAAATTCATTTTTAACTAAATACCTGACTCTGTCTGAATTAATACGAAGTGTGTTTATGATCCCTGAACAAGCAAAGTAACTATAATCTTCTGCTTAAACATTCAAAGATCGATCAGATTGATATTTCATGTTTATATGGAATAATCACATCTTATTGGTCATATTTAATTTGCAGTCGTTTAACGCGATAAAGTGTGACCGCTACAGTGTGAAAATGTAATTATTAAACTCCTCCTGCTGAAATACCAGCTGTTTAAATGTTTCAGGTGCCCAGTGTTTTTTAAACTATGTTCAGAGATTAAAGTTTTCTGCTGATAAGGATTTTTTTCCTCCATTCTTCTTCTACTTTTTGGGCTCGTTAAGGATTTTTGCTCCAAAACGTTCAAAAACATTCAGCTCATTTTGACATTTTAGCTCAGTTTAAGCTTCAGTTCTTAAGCAGCTTCAGCTGCCATTTGCAGTATCCAGCATTCAAACAGCATTTCTGCAAGAACTGTAATTTATCTAGTGTGAAATAGATTCATTAAACCCAGACGCTTGTGCATTTGCTGGGATAACAGTCTTTGTGGTTTGCCCGTTATTTATACCACCCCGGAGGCTGCATGGCTATGGAGGCAATTACTCTGCACACAGCACAGATGGTGCAACAAACAAAGCACTTAAGGAAATGGCTTCACCATTAGACGCACTTTGGTCTCCAACAGGACCTAGCCCCTGTGTCCTCCTCTTTGAAATAGTGTGAATGAATGCATTGAGCCTTTGTCTGATGTTTGGTGAACTGGAACATTTTATCAATGCGTCAGACTTGCTAACTGCAGTGGTGACTCCGTTTGTGCTGTCCATCACATGGACATGTTTTGGAGAGCACACACACAGACTTTTACACACATGCGTGCATTTTACTGTTCTTGCATTCTTGTCCTGCTAATGGATCTTTTGAAAGAGCAGTTGTGCAGACCTCTCACTGAGAGGACTTAGTGCTAATGAGACACTGATGTGGTTAGCTGCATTCAGGATGCACTCACATCCTCAGACAAGTCTCTGTGGACTAAATACAACATGGTGCACTCATTTCCCTGATCACTGTTCTGCTACACTCGCACCAAATGCAGCATGTGCCCGGCTCAGGCCTCGAACAGAAGGCCGGTACTTTAAAATCAGATCCAACTTCGGTACTAAATGATCAGAGATGGGAATTGTGGCATCAACAAGTCATTTTCATGTCGAGTTTTTCTCCAGTTCAGCAGCAAAAGCACGGCATGGAGAAAACTTGTTGATGCCACAAACCCCATCTTTGAAAATCATTGATAAAAAGGGAATTATGTTGACTTTCCTCCAAAGCTGTAGTCGATGTGACAGATTCTGCACACGGTCATGAACCAAAGAACCAAACTTTATTGGTTTCCGGGAGATTTATTGATCATGGATCATTCAAGATGGTCTAACTGCTTGGAAACAAACTCCAAAGAAATTAGGGTTGGTTTTATTACTCGTACATAATTATTTATTTTTAGTTATCAAACAGATATCTTATCGTTGACATCACTGAAGAAAAAAGCATTTGCCCATTTTTAGGTTGAGTCTAAAGCAACGGTTTGATTTCTGTGAAGCTGGGATTTTACCCATGCTTTTATTGTGGCGGGTACAAGGTTTGATGCCAATAGATGAGAGAAGACTAGAAGGGTCGGAGAGGGTTCTTGTGCGGACAGATGCAGGTTTTAAAGCCAGGGGCCCTGCTGAGAAACACCCCCACACAGCAGGGACATCTGCACACGTTTTACAGGTGATTTTAAACGGATTATTATGGATTATTATGGATTATTATTAACTTCACAATTAAAGCATCAGAAACTATCAGCATATTTTAAAAATAATTTTGTGAAAAAACAGTTTTACCGTACCCGACAAATGAACTCTGCTCCTGTTTTAAATGTCAGGTGTGCAGTCACCGAGGCCAACCGCCCACCTCCCTAAACGATCACTGCACACGCTCGGTAAACCCCCTGAACCCGGTTTCCCTTCTCAAACGCCCCCGTGGGCCTCCTAGATGATAGAAAGTATTTAACTGAAAATGTTTAACGCAACAACCAACGATTTAGACGGGAAAATCATGAAGATGAACAAGGCTGCACAAACCTTCACATCCCACTGAAGATCCCAGTCGAAGCTGCTAAACGGAACTTTTTCATACACCCCCCCCCCCAACAAAAACCAAGCTCACACACTCTAGTGTATCGTTGGACCGCCTTTAGCTTTGACTACGGCACACATTCGATAAGCTTCTATCTCATCCTTGTTGCATGAATGTCTCACCGAGACGACGGTAGCATCTGACCGCTGCACAACGCCTTCTCCAGCACATCCCAAAGGTTCTCAGTGGGGTTCAGGTCTGGACTCTGTGGTGGCCCATCCATGTCACCCAGACAAATAAATACTTAATTGGGCCATGGGACGTGTGGAGCATCATGATTTTTGGGCAATCACCGCATCATCATCATCATCATCATCATCATCAGTAGTAGTAGTAGTATTATTTGCTGCGTTGCTAGATTCTGGACATCTGGGCTGATGCTCGCTCCGCGTTTTCTGCTGAGACTGAACTCCATGACTCTTCTGTTCATGTCTCTCTCTCTTCTCTTACCTCTGCAGCTGATAGTGGGCATCCTCCAAGCTCAGGACCTTCCAGCTATGGACATGGGTGGGACCTCGGACCCTTACGTAAAAGTCTACATGCTTCCAGACAAGAAAAAGAAGTTTGAGACAAAGGTCCAGCGCAAGAACCTGTGCCCTGTCTTCAACGAGACCTTCACGTTTAAGGTATCTACACCTGTTCAAATGCTGCCAAAGCTCTCAGAGGCATGCTGGGATTCAATACGTTTATTCTGTCAACATTTTACTTCTACAGATACCTTACAGTGAGCTGGGCGGTCAGACGCTGGTGCTGCAAGTTTTCGACTTTGATCGTTTTGGTAAACACGACGTCATCGGCGAAATAAAGATCCCGATGAACAGCATCGACCTAGGACAGCCGATACACGAATGGAAGGATTTAGTTGGAGGAGAAAAAGAGGAGGCATGTTTAGTTTTCATCACTCTGAAAATATGCAAGGGTTATTAACTTTAATGAGGTGACGGGTCATGTGTGTGTTCTGTCCCCGACAGCAAGAGAAGCTGGGCGACATCTGCATTTCCCTCCGATACGTCCCCACGGCTGGCAAGCTAACTGTTAACATCATGGAAGCCAAGAACCTGAAGAAGATGGATGTTGGAGGGCTGTCAGGTACTGTGTGCATGGTTCTACTGATTATGGAGAGTACCACTGGATGTCTCTGTTGACCCATGTCTCTGGTTCAGATCCTTTTGTCAAGGTGGTGCTGCAGCACAACGGCAAGCGGATCAAGAAGAAAAAGACATCGGTCAAGCAAAACACGCTGAATCCTTATTTCAACGAGAGCTTCAGCTTTGAGATCCCCTTCTCCCAGATCCAGGTTGGAGCACATCTCTCCTCAAACACTTTCTGTTTTAAAGCATTCTATTCGAGTGAAGTATTCCCAACCATCAACCATCCAACAGTCCTTGACGGATTTTGGGTAGTCATTTTTCTGGTTATGAGCTGCATTTAAGGAAAAAAGGAGAAAAATATGTTTATTTTTTCCCTTCTGTCACTTTTCTTTTTAAAAAAGGAATTTTATGAGTTTTTAAGTGGTTATGGTTTTCTGGTCAATACAACACATCATCAAGTGTTTTTGCTCTAAAATCCTCTCAGAGATGCCAACAGTTTTACTCTAGACAGTTTTAGGACCTTCCAGAATGAGCCGTTTCAAGGCCCTTTCACTTTAAAGCTTGGTTTATGCTTGACGCATTCACTTTCAGCGCGGTGATGCGGCTCGCGGATGGAACGCGCTTCACAACTCGCAGCGTTTATGGTTCATGCGGCTCGTCTCTGCGGTGAGCCAATATTCTCCCAAACTGTAGGGGGCAGCATGGAGCTCTACGGCATGCATCCAACACTACACCATAGTAGAAGTAGAAATCACTGTTTACAACATGGTATTCCAGCATATTTAACAGCGTTCTCGTCTTTTCCGACAGTGCGAGCTATTTCTCTCCAAGAATTATTAACAACATGTTGATCACGGTGATCTCTGAGAGCTGAATCATTCAAATGTCTGTATTTACCAACCTCTGCCGTGCCGGTCCGCCATGTTTTTCCGCGTCTGACCGTCCGCGTGGTTAGAAATTTTCCGAGGTGCGCGTTGCGGAAATCTTGGGCCGTGCGGAGACGCGGTGGAGGGCGTGGTATTTAAAATGACGCAAAATGATGCAACTTTTCCGTGCGGAGCCGTGCGGACCTCGCGGACGCGTCAAGCATAAACCAACCTTAAGAAAACAAGCCTGAGCTGACCACGCCCACCAATCCCCTGATTGGCTGCTAAATGTTTGGATATCTGGAAGGGTTTCAGAGTAGAGCCGCTGCTCTTTCTGCATTTGAGAGGTGGCTCTATTCCAACTTCCCTGTTTGTGATGTCACAAATGGGTATTTTTTCAAACACCTCCGTAGAGAAGCAGCAGAGACCCACATGGCTGCACAAAAAATGCAAAAGGTGAGTATTGCCCAATATGTCCCGTTAAACTTTAGTCATTTCACGTTTCATATTTCCTATAATCAATCACAGCATGAATAAAACACGTGTCATCTGCAAACAATCATAATAGTAATACATTTTATTTCAAGCGCCTTTCAAGACTCTCAAGGTAAAAAAAAACACCAATACAAATAAATACATCAAATAATCAAGATGAAAAAAGGAGCTAAGACTAGATAAAAATGTAGGAATGGAGGATTTCGGTTGCTAGGCTAGAGAAGGATAGGAGAATAAGATTACTTTCATCATTTTAGACACCGTAGTCAAGAAACATCAGTCACATCACAGCATCCATCAGTGTTTCAGCCAAAAAGGAGTCAAAGGTCGGTGACTGAGGAGGACAACTCTGCTGAGAGCAAATGATTAAAAGCCATGCTGGAATTCTTCTACATTTATGTTGATGAGCCACGTTTGTTCCAACAATGTTCTTGGAGAACATCTTTTGGAAAAATGAAACAAAACTGGAGCTTTCTGATAAAGTCAGACACAAAATGAAGCACAAGAGAAATGATCTCTTGGCCCACATGGAGCAGGCTTGGCTGTGTTCTGGACTGGCTTTGTTGTCAGTTACAGGAAACAGGAAAACCCAGCTGGAAACACCAAGAACAGATCAGAACCAAACACTGAACTATTCTCAGAGCTCTTATCTAGATGCTTTCGAACATCTGTGATGGAGCTAAAAGATCTGGAGCAGGAACCCTCACGACATGAGAACCAAATCATTTAGCAAAGACTAAGTGGGACAGAAAACCTGTAGGTAGTAAAGAAGTCTCTACCTGTCTATTGTTGGTTAACGAGCAGAAACTAGGCGAGGTATTCATATGTAGTTTCTGCTCCTTAAGCAACAACAGACAGCGCTTATAAGCTTGACTCATATTCCAGTCAGAATTAACAACGCTCCTCTGATGAGAAGCGAAGTGTCTTCAAGAAACCAAAGAAGTCCAGTTGCCTTCATTTGAACCCCTCTGGACTGTCACAGGGGAGGACCTTTCCACCTGTGCACAGGTGAGAAGTCTAAAGGGAGGCGACCTTTCTACCTGTGCACAGGTGAGAAGTCTAAAAGGAGGCGACCTTTCTACCTGTGCACAGGTAAAAAGTCTAAAAGGAGGCAACCTTTCTACCTGTGCACAGGTGAGAAGTCTAAAAGGAGGCGACCTTTCTACCTGTGCACAGGTGAGAAGTCTAAAGGGAGGCGACCTTTCTACCTGTGCACAGGTGAGAAGTCTAAAAGGATGCGCCCTTTCTACCTGTGTACAGGTGAGAAGTCTAAAGGGAGGCGACCTTTCTACCTGTGCACAGGTGAGAAGTCTAAAGGGAGGCGACCTTTCTACCTGTGCACAGGTGAGAAGTCTAAAAGGAGGCGACCTTTCTACCTGTGCACAGGTGAGAAGTCTAACGGGAGGCGACCTTTCTACCTGTGCACAGGTGAGAAGTCTAAAGGGAGGCGACCTTTCTACCTGTGCACAGGTGAGAAGTCTAACGGGAGGCGACCTTTCTACCTGTGCACAGGTGAGAAGTCTAAAGGGAGGCGACCTTTCCACCTGTGCACAGGTGAGAAGTCTAACGGGAGGCGACCTTTCCACCTGTGCACAGGTGAGAAGTCTAACGGGAGGCGACCTTTCTACCTGTGCACAGGTGAGAAGTCTAAAGGGAGGCGACCTTTCTACCTGTGCACAGGTGAGAAGTCTAAAGGGAGGCGACCTTTCTACCTGTGCACAGGTGAGAAGTCTAAAGGGAGGCGACCTTTCTACCTGTGCACAGGTGAGAAGTCTAAAGGGAGGTGACCTTTCTACCTGTGCACAGGTGAGAAGTCTAAAAGGAGGCGACCTTTCTACCTGTGCACAGGTGAGAAGTCTAAAGGGAGGCGACCTTTCTACCTGTGCACAGGTGAGAAGTCTAAAGGGAGGCGGCCTTTCCACCTGTGCACAGGTGAGAAGTCTAACGGGAGGCGACCTTTCCACCTGTGCACAGGTGAGAAGTCTAAAGGGAGGCGGCCTTTCTACCTGTGCGCAGGTGAGAAGTCTAAAGGGAGGCGACCTTTCTACCTGTGCACAGGTGAGAAGTCTAAAGGGAGGCGGCCTTTCCACCTGTGCACAGGTGAGAAGTCTAAAGGGAGGCGGCCTTTCCACCTGTGCACAGGTGAGAAGTCTAAAGGGAGGCGACCTTTCCACCTGTGCGCAGGTGAGAAGTCTAAAGGGAGGCGACCTTTCTACCTGTGCACAGGTGAGAAGTCTAAAAGGAGGCGACCTTTCTACCTGTGCACAGGTGAGAAGTCTAAAAGGAGGCGACCTTTCTACCTGTGCACAGGTGAGAAGTCTAAAGGGAGGCGACCTTTCTACCTGTGCACAGGTGAGAAGTCTAAAAGGAGGCAACCTTTCTACCTGTGCACAGGTGAGAAGTCTAACGGGAGGCGACCTTTCTACCTGTGCACAGGTGAGAAGTCTAAAAGGAGGCAACCTTTCTACCTGTGCACAGGTGAGAAGTCTAACGGGAGGCGACCTTTCTACCTGTGCACAGGTGAGAAGTCTAAAGGGAGGCGACCTTTTTACCTGTGCACAGGTGAGAAGTCTAAAGGGAGGCGACCTTTCTACCTGTGCACAGGTGAGAAGTCTAACGGGAGGCGACCTTTCTACCTGTGCACAGGTGAGAAGTCTAAAGGGAGGCGACCTTTTTACCTGTGCACAGGTGAGAAGTCTAAAGGGAGGCGACCTTTTTACCTGTGCAAAGGTGAGAAGTCTAACGGGAGGCGACCTTTCTACCTGTGCACAGGTGAGAAGTCTAAAGGGAGGCGACCTTTCTACCTGTGCACAGGTGAGAAGTCTAAAGGGAGGCGACCTTTCTACCTGTGCACAGGTGAGAAGTCTAACGGGAGGCGACCTTTCTACCTGTGCACAGGTGAGAAGTCTAAAGGGAGGCGACCTTTCTACCTGTGCACAGGTGAGAAGTCTAACGGGAGGCGACCTTTCTACCTGTGCACAGGTGAGAAGTCTAAAGGGAGGCGACCTTTCTACCTGTGCACAGGTGAGAAGTCTAAAGGGAGGCGACCTTTCTACCTGTGCACAGGTGAGAAGTCTAAAGGGAGGTGACCTTTCTACGTGTGCACAGGTGAGAAGTCTAAAGGGAGGTGACCTTTCTACGTGTGCACCCGTTTTACACGTCTCTGTGTTTGACTAGTAAGGCTGAGGGAAACTGAAGTACCCGTCTCCTCTGTCTCCACACAGAAAGTCCAGTTGCTGATCACCGTGTACGACTACGACAAACTGGGTAGCAACGACCCCATCGGCAAGTGCTGGATCGGGTACGGTGCCTCCGGCGTTGGACTGCGTCATTGGTCCGATATGTTGGCCAATCCCAGACGCCCAGTGGCTCAGTGGCACACACTGCAACCAGAGGAGGAGGTGGACGCTGCTCTGAAGGCCCCCATCCGCTAACCCCCCCTAATGTGAACAGCCGTGTTAGGCGTGTTTCAGATGTGGGAACTGTTCCACCACATCTGCAGCCTGATGATCCAGCAGCTGTTTCTGTAAAATCCCTGGAGACAGACGCTGGTTTCATTCTCACCGTGCTGTAGCATAAATCTGTAGATGACTGTAACTAAATCCTGCATTCTCCTGGACTTGTGCTTTTGGAATCCAAAGACGTGTTTTTCATTAATAGTTAAATAATCTTCCTCATCACACCCCCACAGTTACCTCACCGCTGGCTGGGCGTGGCTTGTAGCGAGCCACTTCCTCTGAAGCCACCTCTCACCACCAGAATAGTCTGCAGTCCATTGCTTGTATTATTTAAGCTCAGATTAGATGAGGATGATTTATTGTAGCGGCTGAACGCTTTTATTTGTGTGACTTTCAGCAGCTGGCACCTCCAGATGTTAGGTTACGCGAGGCTTTTAGCTTCTGTTGTTGTTGAGCTGGTTTTCTCATCCTAGTTCTCCTCTTCTTTAAAACTCAGCTTTTCAAAACCAAAACCTCATGGCTGTAGTCTGTCTTTAACCTTTGACCTTTCTCATCGCGCTCGAACGGGACAAACAAGTGTCCGATTTGTGTTTTGGGTGGTAGTGTTGATGAAGTTGTGTATCGCTGTTTATTTCATGAATCACGCCAACCTGTTGGTGTCACTTCCTGTGTAACAAACACGAGTAAATAAACAGGAAACTGCGTCGGTGAGCTTTAATGCCTTTCGTCTGAACGCAGGCTGAAGGTCAGACGGTCAGCTGATTTGTGACCGCCGTATCATCGACCATTTATGTCATAATCAGATTATTCTCTACGATTTAACCCAGGCCTCTCTTCCTAAGGGGGAATAATCAGCCTGCTGCCAGAGATCCAGTTATGAACCGTGTGTGTGCGTGTGTGTGTGTGTGTGCGTGTGTGTGTCCTAAATCAGAGTGACCAGTGACAGATTGGATTATAAGGGTGTCCTCTTTTGTCCTTGACTCATGCATGTGAATAGAATATATGGTGCGGTATGGGGGCCAAAATTAAGACTACTGCCCAGCAGCAGGAGGTTATATAAATTCTGAAGCAAACTACCGATCTGATTAATGATAAGCTGGCGCCGGTAACTGAGAGGCTGGCGCTGCTTACTGAGAAGTAGCACCTTTACCGGCGTTACTACTAGATACGCTAGGGACTAGCAGCCCTCGGCTTGTCATTGACTGGTTCACACACTCCCTCTGCTGTCTATTAGCATTGATAGGCTAGCATTAGCCTGGATGGGCTGGTGTTAGCATTGGAGAGGCTAGCCATTAGCGTGCCTGGGCTGGCCACTAGCTGGATTTCCTACCCCCTTGATGGACCATTAGCATGAATAGGCTGGCGTTAGCATTGGAGAGGCTAGCCATTAGCATGCCTAGGCTGGCATGCCAGCCTATCCATGCTTAAAGTCCTTCAAGTGGGTAGGAAATCCAGCTAGTGGTCAGCCTAGGCACGCTAATGGCTAGCCTCTCCGATGCTAACGCTAGCCTATCCATGCTCATAGACAGCAGAGGGAGCGTGTGAACCAGTCAATGACCAGCCGAGGGCTGCTAGTCCCTAGCGTATCTAAGAGTAATGCCGGTAAAGGTGCTACTTCTCAGTAAGCAGTGCCAGCCTCTCAGTTACCGGCGCCAGCTTATCCTTAGTCAGGTCGGTAGTTTGCTTCTGAATATATAAAGCCTCCTGCTGCTGGGCAGTAGTTTGAATTTTGGCCCCCATACCGCGCCATAGCATAAGAATAGAACAGAATAGAATAACCTTTATTGTCATTGCAACAAGTACAATGAAATCAGATGCATTTACCGTGTCCAAAATTGAAAACAAATAATTAGATTAAAAAAATATATATAATAGAATAAAACAAGGAGAGCAGTGCTGCACTTGCATCATTTCACACTGACGGTGTGTGAGAGACAGCTAACAACACAAACATGATAATATTGCACCAGTGGCGGGGCGAAGGGGCAGAACACGATTACCACCAACAGGAGAACATAGAAAACACTACAGCTGACTGTAGTGTCACCAGGCTCCTGGGGGGCTGGGGTCAAACGCAGCTGTCATCAGGGAGAGACGGGGGACACCCTGGACAGGTGTCCGCTCCGTCACCGAGACAACCAGTCACACTCGCCGTTCAACCCAACGTGTGTTTCAGATGGATTGTAGGAAAGTGTCAAAAAGATGTTTAGATTATTCTAAACATCTTTAATCTGTGTGTAAATGTAGCAGACTGAGCTAAACATCTGGCCGAAATCCACAATTAGACTGTTAAAAAAGGAAATGTCCCGCCAAAATAAAAGAAGCATGCAAAGATCCCCCGAAGAGTGGAAGTTAGTTTAAACACACACACACACACACACACACACACACACACACACACACACACACACACACACACACACACACACACACACACACACACACACACACACACACACACACACACACACACACACAGCTCTTCCGTCTCTCAGCCTGGATGCCGGCTCCGCTCCACCAGGATCTGACCCAGAAGGCCCGGTTCATCGATCCAGGGCCCTAAACAGGGCAGATCAGGTGTATTTTAGAACGGTTCTGGTTCCAGCGGGCCAGTTAGTCTAAACTGTCATGCTGGCTTAGACCCTCATGGATATTTTTATTTCAACATTTAGGTCTAAGTTTCTGTTGTTGATGTTGTGCTGCAGACGTTTCTGTTGTCATTGTTCATGACTTCATAAACCAGCTCCACTGGTCATCCTTTCACATCCGCGTTCACACAGAAGCTGTTCTTCATCCCACAAACAAACCCGCAGGATTCCCCAAACAGGAAGCTGGCATGCTGATGGAGACCCGTCAGCCCAGGAGCTCAGGAGACGGTCTCCGTCCAGCGCTGCCTGAGCTGAACCCAAAAGGAGCATCTTGAAGCAAAGGAGGCCCACATTGCCTCAGGGCTGCTCCCTCCGTCCTCCAGGCACCGCCTCCTTTTGGCCCGTTTTTCCAGCAGGAAGTGCGTGTGCAGCAAGACTCTGGTCTCCCTGGCTGGAGTCCATTCTGGGCCCAGCCATGTTTTACATCTTCTCTGTTTAACTCAACATCCCGACTGAAAGAATATTTGGCAACCACAGACTGCGAAGGTTGTCCCACCTAAAAGGAGAAGTCCATTCATTTGATCCCGGCTACACGTAAAGGTTTCCCAGCACTTACAACTCCTAACCCAAGATGGGAGGGGAAAACGGGCGTCGCTGACACCCTGGATGATGAATCTACTAACCCACCTACATCAGCTGTGAGGGACAGGACGTTAAACAATCCAGGAAATCTCCCAGAATGATGTTTAAAGAACCGATCTGGATGATGATGCAGGAAGGCAGAATTCAGCTCCGATAAGAAAAACAAGCAGGAATTCTGGCCTCTGCTGGATCAGTGGAACCTGTCTGAACGTGTTTGTTGCCTGAAGGATGCCTTCAGCTACTCACGACACCTCTCTGGTGAGCTACTTGGAATAAATGAAGCAGGTAGACTCCAACATCCGCGACCTCAAAACCAAACATAAATCACTTCAGTTGGTCACGTGGATCGGGTTCCAGACCGTGATGGTCTTCTGGGACGGCTGACTCCGTTCTCCTGCTCCTCCGTCGGTGGGACTGTGGACCGGTCCCAGAGGACAGACCGGTCGGCTCAGGCTTCAGATCAGGGTTCTTTCATCAAACTAAGTCTGGTGATGACTTGTGTGTTTAGCAGCACCTCACAAGACGACGGGTTTACATTTTCTGCCAACAGGTCTTTGTGTGCATCTCACACACATCGTGTCAGTCATCGCACCGAGACCTGAAGCTGCGCTTCCACTCAGAGACAGGAGCGACTTGTCAAAACCTGCATAAAAGTTCTCAGTAGCACTTTCATCTGCTGCATTCCTGTCTTCCACACACCAAATCACCTGATACCATCATCATCACCCAGCAGCCACGAAGACACGGAAACAAATCAGACGTCTTTGGTTCGTCTCACCCAGAGGTTCAATAGGATCAGTGTGGAAGTGGGACAGTAGATCAGGGTGTCTACGCCGAGTCCTGCAGGGCCCCCGTCCATCTCTCTGTCCATCTGTCCCTCATCCATCCATCCGTCCATCCGTCTGTCCATCCATCCATCCTTCCATCCATCCGTCCATCCATTCATCCATCCATCCTTACAGCCATCTGTCCATCCATCCATCCATCCATCCATCCATCTGTCCATCTGTCCCTCATCCATCCATCCGTCCATCCGTCTGTCCATCCATCCATCCTTCCATCCATCCGTCCATCCATCCATCCATCCATCTGTCCATCTGTCCCTCATCCGTCTGTCCATCTGTCCGTCGTCCATCCATCCATCCATCCATCCATCTGTCCATCTGTCCCTCATCCATCCATCTGTCCATCCGTCCATCCATCCGTCCATCCATACATCCATCCTTCCATCCATCCGTCCATCCATCCATCCATCCATCCATCCATCCTTACATCCGTCTGTCCATCCATCCATCCATCCGTCCATCCATCCATCCATCCTTCCATCCATCCGTCCATCCATCCATCCATCCATCCATCCTTACATCCGTCTGTCCATCCATCCATCCATCCGTCCATCCATCCATCCATCCTTCCATCCATCCGTCCATCCATCCATCCATCCATCCATCCATCCATCCATCCATCCATCCATCCTTACAGCCGTCTGTCCATCCATCCATCTGTCCATCTGTCCCTCATCCGTCTGTCCATCTGTCCGTCGTCCATCCATCCATCCATCTGTCCATCTGTCCCTCATCCATCCATCCATCCATCCATCCATCCATCCGTCTGTCCATCCATCCATCCATCCATCTGTCCCTCATCCATCCATCCATCCATCCATCTGTCCCTCATCCGTCTGACCACCTGTCTGTCCCCGATCCATCCCTCTGTCCATCCATCCATCAATCCATCCTTCCATCCATCCATCCATCCATCCATCCATCCATCCATCCATCCATCCGTCCATCCGTCTGTCCATCCATCCATCCATCCATCTGTCCATCTGTCCCTCATCCATCCATCCGTCCATCCGTCTGTCCATCCATCCATCCATCCTTACATCCGTTCCTCCCTCATCCATCATCTGTCCCTCATCCATCATCTGTCCCTCATCCATCCATCCATCCATCCATCCATCCATCCATCATCCATCCATCCATCCATCCATCCACCCGTCCGTCCCTCGTCCATCCATCCATCCGTCCATCCTTCCATCCATCCATCCTTCCATCCATCCATCCATCCATCCATCCATCCATCCATCCATCCATCCATCCATCCATCCATCCATCTGTCTGTCCATCCATCCATCCATCCTTACATCCGTTCCTCCCTCATCCATCTTCTGTCCCTCATCCATCCATCCATCCATCCATCCACCCGTCCGTCCCTCGTCCCTCGTCCATCCATCCGTCCATACTTCCATCCATCCTTCCATCCATCCATCCATCCATCCATCCATCCATCCATCCATCCATCCATCCGTCTGTCCATCCATCCATCCATCCTTACATCCGTTCCTCCCTCATCCATCATCTGTCCCTCATCCATCCATCCATCCATCCATCCATCCATCCATCCATCCATCCATCCATCCATCCACCCGTCCATCCCTCGTCCCTCGTCCATCCATCCATCCATCCTTCCATCCATCCATCCATCCATCCATCCATCCATCCATCCATCCATCCGTCCATCCATCCCTTGTCCATCCATCCATCCATCCCTCATCCATCCATCCGTCCATCCATCCCTCGTCCATCCATCCATCCATCCCTCATCCATCCATCCATCCGTCCGTCCATCCCTTGTCCATCCATCCATCCATCCATCTCTCTGTCAGTCCAATTGTCCTTTGCCTCATCTGGGGGTGGAGGACAATCTCTTCCACTACATCAGCAGCCAGGTTGCGTGCATAGCCTAGAGGAAAGTTGGACATGTAGCAGATGAATCTGTGTTTTTTACACAAAACCGAACACCTACGGTGACTTACATAACGTTGGAGGTGTCTCCACTGGGCTCACAGCATCTCCTCCCTTCTTTGTTTTAGGGAAATCTTTGGTTTACTACAGTTTCCCTGAAGTTGTACTCGTTACTGCCACAAATCGTTCATCATCAAACCAAAAGGATATCCTCTAAATATTGGTCACATCCATCACAAAACGTGTCAGATGCTAATTTGCACTTTTATGCTGATGACACAATCATTTACTATTGTGGATCACCCCCCATTAAAGCTGCTGAATTCTTACAGAAAGCTTTAATGAGGTCCAACAAACACTTATGCAGTTAAAACTGGTCCTCAATGCTGACAAGACTAAGCTAATGTTGTTTTCTAACTCTAAAGACCACTAAGGATGCCCTCAGTGACCACTCTTGAGGGCAACATCATGGAGGTGGTCCACACTTACAAACACCTTGGTGTCTGGCTTCATGACTCCCTCTCCTTCAAGCCCATGTAGATAAGGTTGTGAAGAAACTCAGACTGGGTTGCTTTTTTAGAAATAAACTGTTTATTTCTTTTGAGGCAACAAAACTACTAGTTCTGCAACATTTCTGTCTATTCTGGATGGGAGGCAGATCTTTTAGCTATCAGGCTCCTCTCTTGTGGAACCAGATCCCAGCTTTAGTCCGTGAGGCAGACACCTTGTTTACTTGACTAGGCTTAAAACATTTTTATTTGATAGGGCCTATGGTTAAAATCTGATGTTAGCCTAAATCTGGACAAGTGGGGGAGTAGAGGGAGGTGGAGTGTACAGTCGGTAAAGACGGCTCTCTCTTGCCCTACCTCCAACATGCCTCCATCTCAAAGGCTATGTTATCCAGAGTTGTCTCTGT